TCCCGCCCTCCTCTCTTTCCCAGGGCTTTGCCTATTTCTTGAAGCATATTGACCAAAACAGGGCAGTTGCCTAGCTGAGACTTTACCTGAGCACCAGAAGGATCACTCCATGCATTTTGCATCCGACACTAAAAGAACAGACCCAGGGCTCCCCTCTCCACAGACAAGCCTATGACTCACCTTCATGCCCACGAGGTTATTGTGAAAGTCCACCCTGGCTCGCAGGTCCTTGTTGGGCTTCCTCCCCAGAAATTCCTTGACGAACTTGTTGCTGTATTTCAGGTTGTCACCACACCCGCCCCACTGCCAGGCCTCCCGGTTCTCCAGGTCAGGGGCCTCATCACAAGTGCAGCGCTCCATGCGCCCTGCGCTGCATGCCTTGGCCATGGCATGAGTCAGCCCTGCCGAGGAAATGGCATACAGGAAGGCCGTCTCCTTAAAACCTGGGGGAGAGAGAAGAAGATAGCTTTATTTGTGGCCAGAGCAAGAGTTTAAAAAAAAAAAGTGCAGAAATTGAGGTAAATCCCATACCAAGAAGGCTTGAGCAAACTTCAAAACATGCCAAGCCCTACACACACCATTACTGATGGCAGAAAGGACAGTGGAGAGCACACCAGGAAAGTCCTTCCTCGGCAGAGAGGGCAGGAAAGAGGTGGCACAAACCAGAATTCAAAAATACGAGTCAAACCAGGCCAGCCCTATGGCTGTTGCCCTATAGAGTCTCTGCCTGAAAGCATAGGTGAGCAAGAGCTGGACAGGTAACAGAGGTACCATCATTGTGATATAGCCATAGTCGTACTAAGGAGGAGAGTAGTAATAGTAAGATAACAGCACAGACTTCCAGGCAAAGGGTCAGGGTAGAAACCATGAGGCTTCTTGTTCCTCCTCCTCCCCAGGAAAATCACCAGGTCTTGCTCCAGTTCAACAAAATTAACAAAAGGCATCTGAGGGCTTGGAAGCACACAGCGGCCAGCCTGTCACCCAGTGCAGCACTTCAGCCAAATGCCTCCAATCTTTTATGCATGAAAGATTTGATGTATAACCCTTTTATTACACCTCCATGCTCACCTGCAGGGTTACGATGGCATCTGCCTGCCTCTGGTAGGTAAACTGAGGCCCAGAGATACCCATGATTTCAGCCCAAATTATAAGAGCCCGAAATAAAAAGCAAACATGCCAGCGTTTATAACGCCTCATTCTCCAGCTATGGAAGCTGTAAACGATTGCATATTTGAGATGGAATTCCAGAACAGCTTTGGATCCAGCTCAAGAAATCCCCCACTCCAAAATAACACAAGTGGATGGTGACAGTAGTGGATATATCTGCAAGCTGGTGTGTCAAACAAGGACATGCAGAGACACTGCCAGGTCATTTTTGGAACTGTTCCTTGGGAGGTTCGTGGTAGTCTAAGCAAGCTCATGGGGCGCTACCCTGGCTTTTTCCCAGGGCATGCCTTCCCAAAGCACTCCCAGATGCACGATGGTGTGCTTCAGCGGAAGGAGGACAAACATCCAGACCGGTAGACTGAGGCTTGGTCCTCCCAATGGAGCTGACTCAAACCAGGTCATGGTAGGAATTGTCCAACCACTCTACTGCTCATCTGGAAAGGAATAGCGAGAACCTTTCCCTCTCTGGAAGGAAAGCTAAAATAAAATAGGGTCCACTCCACACTCACAAGGTACACAGTAGAAAGTCATTAGGGTTGAGAAACCAGATTTGTTTTTGTTTTCTGTTAGTTTTCTCCCTGAAGTTAGACCACATGCTCTGACGCTTCAGAAACATCCTCAGTGTCGCAAGCTCTCTCAGTGGGTGGTGGGGAATTCTTTAATTCACGCAACAAAACCCCATGGATATGAGAACCAAAGATCTCTGTGTAGAAAACCCTTTCAACAGCTTTCGCCTTTTGTAGGCTGATTTAATTCGTCTAGGTTGTGTCCTGGGTCAGATTGCCCACATGCCTGTCAGGGGGATGCCTTTGCTAGAGAAAGATGCTCCCGTATCCCTTGCGTTCCCGGGTTGGAGAGCTGGTCTCTCTTCACTGCTACTACTTGTGCCACTAAACAGAGAGGTACCAGCGTGCCAAGAGAAAGCCCTCGATGCAACAGGGTGTGCAAACTTTCCTCCAGTTTGAGACACTGCAATTAGCGGCAAACAGCCAGGCCTCAGTCGTCTTTAGTAGGTATCACAGACCCTACAGCCTGCTTGGAAATCTCCTCTGTGAAGCCCCAAATGCGCAGAGGCTGAGAAATCTCAGAAGGAAGCCAGCGTCCAGCAGCCACAACACATGCCTGGCTCGACACAAAGCCAGGAGGAAGAGTTCATTTGCCAGACTCTCCTCTCTCAATCCTCCCATCAGCTTTGGATATATTCTTCCCATTCCCCATAGTTTAAAGCTTCACAAATTCTCAGCGCCCATCAGCACAGGTATCATCTCACCCTCAGGCAGCTCAGGCAGCTTCCAAGCAAGTCCATGTGACATTTGGCTCTGGCCAGATTTAAAGCCATCTCCGCAGTGCACTATTTGATTGCACCAAGATATTTTGTAACAAGATAACGAGCTTTAAATCAATGCAGGCATTCTAACCTCCAGCGCATCGACAGCCTGCCATCCGCAGCTATCCAGTTTCAGCCATTTCCAAAATTGTTCACGAGTATCCAAAGAGGATAACAAGTCCCTTAAACAATCCCCTGTTATTTTAAGAAATGGGCCACATCAGCCCAAGTTATGAACCAGCAGCCAGGCCATTCGGGTGACCAAGTACAACAACGGAAGGAGAAACTTTTCAAAAAAAAAAATTCTTTGCTCTCCTTAAAACAATGCAAAAGCCCGGGAGGAGAGAAAGCAAGCCCATGCTGACATATTTGAATAGCTGTGTGTTAGTAGGTTATGCATGTATGCCTTTGCCCTAGGGTATCACTTGCTGCAATGCTGAACCAGGAACCAGCAGCTCCTGGAGTGAAGGAGAAAGATTTACAGGGCCGTGTGTTATGCTGCACAAACAACATCTGAAGGATTTACAGCATCAGCAGAGAGGAGAGATGTTGCAGGGGCATAAAACATTGAAGAATGAGACAGACAGAGTCTTGCAACCCTCAGAGCTACCATTTATTACATGGGGTCTTGACAAGGGGGGCTTCTCACTGCTGTTTTAAGGCAGCTTAACTTCAGGCTGCTTTAAAAAAAAAAAAACCTGTCACTTGCTGAAGGCTGCCCACGGGGGGCAGGCATGTCTGAAGGAACAAGCTGTGGCCTCCAGGTGTCAGCATGAGAAAGTGCTTGGGTTTCCCAAGGCACCACTAATCCAGGGACTCCTCTGGCATGCGGAGATATTTTTAAACATCTTGCAGCTCAGGCTGGACCCTCTTGGGTTTCATAAGGACTTTCCTTGTTTCCACGGCAGGCAGTGACAGTGCATTAGTTAAGCCCCAGCACTTCTGAATGACTCATTCTCACTTATTAGCAAGGGAGGAAGCACTGCAAACCTCCACGCTTATCTCTGAGCAAGTCAGACCCTTGGTTTCCAGGCCCAGCTCCATCAGTGACCACGGGACATTCTGAAAATCCCCGAAGCCCTCAAGGCCCAGGCAACCCATGCGTGAAACGGGCCTCCTGCATCATTATCTGCAGGCCACAAATAGGAACAGATTTTGTCGGGAAGATGCAGGAAGCAACTATACAAGCTTGTGCATAGGAAGGAGACAAAAACACTGCCTATTCCTTAAAACATGCCCTGTCAGCTTCTGGTTATCTCTATTCAAGCTGCCAGGAAGGGGTGTGGGAACCGCCCACAACAAACATCCATGGGGCTTCTCCCCACGTCAAGCAATAACAGATCACAAGGGAACATCTGCAGTTTTTACTCTTTTATGGGAAGACTCCCCTTGACACCATCAACAGACCAGCATGGAAGAGTTCATTTCGTCTCAGCTCCCTTAACAAAGTATCCTTCCTATTTCTTTCCTGACAGATTGGCACACCCTACCCATAGACCTTTTAATAAAGGGAGAAGTCCACTCCTTCTCCTCCAACAATGGCTCAAGTCCCAGCAGAAGTGAGGCACAACTGTAGCTACCAGCTGTAGATACACATGCAACCACCTCCAGGTCCATGGCCACCAATGGGAGAGCAGTTGCCTCGCCAGTACAAGTGCATACATTACAGCCGCATAGAGCCTCCATGGACAGAGCAGCAGCCACTTTCCACAGTGGCTGACCCTGCCTTCATCTTCATCTCCCCACCACCCTCTACAAACTTTTGAATCTCTGGGGAGATGACCCACCACTGGCAAAGTATGAATCAGGACAACCACTCTATCTGTAAAGCCGCAGAGAAGCCCACGCGTGCCGGAGGCACCAGTGACCCCCAAGAAGGGCTCCAGGGAGCCGCAGCAGGCGCAGCCCCCCACCCTGCTCACCTCTCTTCAACAGGCTGGCCCTGTAGCGGCCCTCCAGGGTGCAATTCCAGCGCTCAAAGCGAAACTGGTACTGGCACTCCAGCGCGCTCATGCTGATGGCCTCCATGAGGGTTTCGGCCACGCCGGGGTCCCGCCGGCACATCCTGCGCTGCTTCTTCTCCAGCTTCAGGCGGTCACAGACTTTGTAGTGAGCTTTGACAGCGGCTTCCTCCATTTCTGAGGTCAGAGGGAGGATGGTCAGGGGTTCGTTCCCAGTCAGCCTGCAAGAGGAACAGAAGAGCACAGACATGAGAAGAGAGAAACGCGGGCAGAAACGGGACCTGTGGTGGGAACAGGTCTCCCCTGGCTGAGCTATGTGGATTTACCGATTTCTGGGGGGAGGACGGAGGTTACAGAGAGGTTCTCTCTGCAGTGTGGGAGGAAGAGGAAAAGGGTGAGAAGCAGTATCTGGGTTTATTTTCTCTACCAGCTCCTCACAGAGCCTGTTCAGACACAAAACCTTCACAATTTCCACTTCTCTCTTGAATTTGGGTGCTACCAGGTCCCATTTAAACCTGAAATACAGAAGAACTAATAGAAGGTACCCAAATTGTATTAACTCAGGAAACTAGCAAAAAGACAACAGCACTACAGCTGCTCTTTTGTGCACAGAAAAAAACAGTTTAGCACAGCAAGCAGAGCCAGAACAGGCTTGGAAAAGGAGAGAGGGTGATCCATCCCACTGGAAAACACGTACAGCCACTCTGCCCTCAGCAGAGGAGCAGGAGGCTCTTACATAAAACCTAGCAAGCCTCAGCGTCAGGCTTGTGAGCAGCCTACGCTTTGAGAAGCGATACTGCCAAAAGCTTTTAACGTGGAGCAACGAGCTTGAAAACGAAAAACGCCTTGAAGAAATACGTGTCCTGCTGCCTTCTCCCCTCCCCTGCCTCCTCCGAGCACAAGGTCCTTGACTCGTACAATGTGCAACAAAAGAAGCCAGCGTACTGTTCCCGGTGTCAAGTGACGAGCTGCTGGAAGGGGACCAGGCTGGCATCGGCCCCGGGGAGCAGAGACGCTGAAGGAACATCTGCTGGACTCATGAGCAGTTTGTTGGCCGAGCTGCCCGCGCCCCGCTCTCCTGGCTCTGCCCTCTTCCGGCCAGGTGCCAGTCCACGCAGTCAATGGGAATCACTATGTAGGATTTCGAGGGACCTGAAGACACGTTTCCCCAGCCAAAAAGGAAGAATTGCTGAAGCCAGAATTCAAAACATGCTGGAACATCGCAGTCCTGCAGAGATGGACACACAGAGCGAGCGCGGGACAGCTCAGCCTTCGCCTCCGTCGCGGGAGGAGATGCAGGGCAGTGGGCACAGGAGGGGAGCACACGCTCGTGCCCCTGGCCGAGTGTGGGACGATCCTGGAAAGCCTTAAAAATTCCACCTGCCCTGCAGGAACAGTGGGTTGTTGTTTCTGTCTTCAATAAGGATTTCTCTCTAAATCAACGGGATGCATCCTGCCAGGCGCACAATCCCCCAGGCAAGCAGCTAGCATGGTTTAACTCCCAAATCTCTTTGCACAATAGATACCAAATCCTGACCTGAGCTACAGCCAGCAACATCCAGTACACGACAATTGTTAGTAATGATTTAATGAGGTAATTTAACATTAGATGTCTAAAAGGGGGGGGGGGAAATTGCTAGTTTCTTGGTTTGTTTTAGAAGAATAGGGAGACAGGCAGGGAAATGTTTCTTTCAGAACTATTAGGATCTCAAGAAAATGCTGCAATGGGAAAAAAATGAAGAGTCAAAAAAGCGATTTGTGGGAAACGTGAAAAACAAAACTAGTGTAACTAGTTTGTAACTAGTGTAAATCTACCCCCCCCAAAAAAAAAAAATTCAGAAAATTCTGCTTCCAAAAAAGATAAAACCACCCAAAAAGTCAACGAGCAAGCTCTGTCTGAAGCAGTGATGAAATTTAACCCTTACACACTTTCACTTGGTTTGGATTGGAATAGGAGTGTAAACACAAGCTCAACTATTCCCCAAGGAGACAGGACATCACCTGGCCCTTGGTGGCCAGGTTAAGTGGAGCTCTGAGTAGCCTTGTTTATGAGAAAGACGTCCCGGTCCAAGCTTCACAGTAGTAAAGACCTGTTACAAAATCTCCAGGATAGTCATTCTTGGCCTTCATCAATACATTTGCCCTGAAGGTTCACTCCTGCGAGCTTTCGTAGTTGGTGCAAGAGATATCCTCAGTTGGCAAAGGAGAGAGACGGAGGCATAAAAGCATTTTCTACAGCTCCCACTCTCCCAATTTACCTTTCTGACCAAGCTTATACTGCTCAGCTTAATGTCTGAGAAAACACAAACTCCAAGTATCACGTAGCAGGAGGCTATTAGAGCGAGGAGGGATACAGAACTTGATCCTACAGCCAAGACTTTTGCAGAGCAATCTGCAATTTTAAATCCCTTCTCCCCACCCTCCCACCTTAGATGCTTGGCTTTGAGACACCTCAAAGAAACAGCTTCCCACACCATAGCCTTGCAAAACTTGCTGAGAGCACAGCCCAATGCCATGCATTCCCAAAATGGATCCCAAGGAGAGTCACTTCTTAAAAAGTAGAAGCAAAATAAAGAGCTTTATGTATGCAGAACATAGGAAGTAGGATTCACAGTGCTCCACTAAGCCAGAGGACACAGGCCTTCAGTAGTTGCTTAGGATTAGCAGCTGGAAAATCCCGAGAAACAACAGAAAATTGAAGCATCAAAAAGAGTAATTGTCAGCAATATTCACTTTAACTGCTCTGTGCAAAAGCTTGACAGAGCTGACAACAGGGACATATAGGTAACAGCCAAGGTGAACTGACTGCCGGCCAACGCAACTCTCACTTACCCTTTCCCAAGAAAGGGGTGCAAAGACACCAACACAATGTATTGGAGGGGACACCAAAAAAACAGCCTTTTCCATCTCCTCTCAGCCTGTTTCCTAGCTCAGCTCTACACTAAGATGCACGCTCTCCCCACTCCTCACCCATCCCAGAAGGCGAAATGAAAATCCAAGCCGGTGAGAAACAAGCCATGCAACACATGCGATGAACGGACTTGTCGATCGCTGCCTGGCTTATTGTTCAGACTGATTTCACCAGCCTCCAAGCTGGTCTGAATCAGACTGGAGCAAATTAATTACAAAAGCATCTCCAGAACAGGACAGACAAGAGGGAATAAAATTAGCAGAGGGTGTAAAGGGGCTTTTCCCAGACGCCGAGCGAACGAAGCTCTTGCAGGCAAAGAGCCCCACCTGTGCAAAGCGCAGCATGTATGCATGCATACGCACTTTCTCTCCCCCCTGTGATGGATCTGTGCCCATTTCAGTGGGGGGAAGCCATGCAGCAGTCCCAGGCCTTGCACACACATTCCAGCAGCCCCGGCAAACGGGGCAAGCGGGCACTTTTCAAAGCGGTCCACCAGCGATAAACAAGCGCAGGCAGAGCCAGCGAGCGCCTGTGCCCCCACCTGAAACGCTGCCGCGGAGCTGCCACTGCATGGCACCTTTATAATCCCATAAAACCCTTTTATGCAACCTTTGCCGAGCAAGGTCCCGTAAGGCAACGGTGTCAGAGTCGGATGCTTTCTCAGCTCCTCACAAAGAGCAAGCTGTTCCTCCCAAGGAATCTGGAAATCTTTTGGGACAGGGGGAAAGAAGGGGGGGGGGGGATTTTTTTTTTTTTTTAATTATATTCACCCAATTCATGACTATTATGATTAAACTGCCAATCAGCATCCTGTGTAATTGTATTTTGGCCTGAGAGGGCTGAGCATAGCACGAAGGTGTGTTTGTTCACTAGGAACCGGGAGAGAAACCAAACAGCTCATTCCACACAACCAAGGAAGCTTTAACTCTCTGGAAACTAATTACAGCTTCTGTGAGAACAATCTGAGGGGTACAAAGTCAAGAGGCTGGTTTTTGCTCTTGTTTTCTACTTCAAATTGTACCCTAATCTTCCTCTGTCCACCCCACCTGCACTGTCCAGATTTCAGGAAGGACTTGGTTGCTCAACGCCTTATCACCTAGCTCAGAGGAAACCTTGCATGGATTGGGATCTCCAAGCTTTAGTTAGCATCAACAATAATCATCAGCAGCAGCCACACCGGCTGCATTTAATCTTAAGCAGCTGTTCCCCAAGCCCCTCTTCCTTTGGAAGAGGTTATTGCCATGGGAGAGAGGTTTCCAACATCAATTGCATTCTTCTCTGTCCGAATTTCCTTCCAGTTCAGTCTCTTACTAGTTTGAAGCCAGGGAACCAAGTTTATCATCACCAGCTGTAAATAGTGAGACCTATCTGGTTTGCCCGAGCACTACTGGTGGCATTCAGCTGCCTTGGTTGTGAACTTCTCGTCCTACCTTGCAAATCGCTCTGCTCTCCTGAGGTTCAGACTTCAGCTAGGCTTAGGAAAGATCCCAGACACAGCCCCTGCCACTGCACAACACACACTGATAGCTCTGAAGCCAAGTTGGACCTGTAGCGACATGAATTTATTACCCTTCCAGAGAGCTAATTCCAGACGGGCCCCGCTTTCAGCTAATCTGGGAAGTCAAGAGTTTTTATTGCCTCATCAGCTCATTCTTTCATGTCCATCTCCACATTTTCCTCTTATGTAAGTGGAGATTTTCCTGATGAGAATTTGAGGGGGACGAGACAGAAGTAAGGTGCCTGCACAGACCTGCAAGTGCGTTCTCATTTTTTGAAATGCCCAGGAGTTTCCTTTGCAAGTGCCTCCAGAGACACAAGCCAGGGTGAGCTGCTTTCCTGCGAGGAAACAGCTCTGCTATACCCACCTGGAGTGACAGGCCTACTGAAATATTGCATTCCTATCCCAGTGCTTCCTTCTTTGCTAGGACTTTTATCTTTGATACATCTGTACAAAGCCCCAGTTGATTCTCTTTCCACTTTTTACATGAATGTGTCCTCTGCAGTCTTGCTACCTCTTCCAAACCTTTTTCTTCTCTTTCCACCACTTCCTTTTCTTCAAATAAAGGCAGAGATCTTTTTTTAAAAAAACTTGAGAACTCACAGAATTCTCTTCACTGCCATGCCTAAACTGACGACTCCCCAGCTCAAGGAGCCAGACTGATTTATCCTGCATGCAAGGCCTATATTTGTATTTCTTCTATCCAAACTTCAATTCTTCTCTCTCACTCTCGCACTCACAGCACAAAGGAGCTTTCCTGACTTGATTCAACATACTCCTCCCATCCACAACAGCAATTGCTTCTTGAAGTAAAACAAACCAAAAGTCCTGAAAAACTCCTAGAATTTCATGGTGAGCAACTAGGACTCAGTATTTGGAGCAAGAGTTGGCCATTGAAGAATCAACTGTCCCATTGGATTTTTTTTTTTTGTTTGCAGGTACAGATGCTGCTGACATGTCCCTCACAGTAACC